TAGCCAACTTGCACTTTGCTGCTGAGAAAGTCATTTTAGAGACAGAGCCACTCTGGTATTTGTTGATGTGGACAAAGGAAAAAGTCTGCATGCAATGTGCTTTGAAAATGTGGAACAGCAGGAAACAAACACTGCCAGCAGGAGTTTAGTTAGTCCCAGGTTTGTTTGTCCAACACATACCGTATGTGTTCATTTATGCATATGTGATGACCTTCTTTGGACGTATGGTTAAGATGGTGACGATGCGTCTTTTCACCTCCTTTTCTCCACCGCCCTGATTCACAGCCTCCTGGGATGATTATTAATCTAATAATTAAACATTTATTGCCAACAGCACCTGCTCTCTCTCGCTCCTCTGAAACCCTCAGGACCCCACCGCAGAGAGAGAGCGCGAGAGAGGAGGAGAGCTGGAGAGGGAGGGAGGGACACAGGAGGAGCCAGAGGGAGGGGTTGGAGAGAGGAGAGCAATTCGAAAGGGTCATCATCACATTGCTGGATTCTTTTACACCAGCGAGAAGCTGTTGTTTTGTATGGCGGCAGACAGCATGTGAAGTTATTTGATCCCAGAACAAAAGAAACAAGGAGGAAGGAACAATCCGATGCTGGGAGGGACTCACAGCGAGGGGCCCCTGACTCAGTCTGACATCTACAAGCAATTAATCTCCTAATCGTCTGACTTCTTTTCACTCACTTTTATTTTTTATTCAAGATTTCTCTGCTTTTTTTCTTCAAAATGTTTGGAAATGTCTGATTCAACTTGAGAGGAAAAGAGCATCTCTTTAGCTCTTCTTAACCCCGAGTAAGGAAGAAAAGCATATTCAGCGGCAGGCAGAGTCACACTTTTAAAATTAACAGAGTGAGAGACACAGTGAGAAGTACAGAGAGAGGGAGTGCAGGTCCCTCTGTGCACCACGATGCTGCGCTACCTGATCAAGACCTTGTTGCAGATGAATCTGTTCACAGACACCATCCGAAACCCTTCCAATGGAACTGATGTCTACTTCAACAGCTCCCTGCAATCCTTCAACGGCTCCCTGCCGTCCTTCAACAGCTCGCTGTTCGAGTGGGGAAACTTCACCGGCTTCAACGGTAAGTGCATCTTCCCCTCTTTAACCCCCCATCTTCAACCTCCTCAAAACACACATTCTTGAACAAGACACCTGGGTCTCTGTTGCAACGGGGATCTGAAACTGAAAAGGGAAATGTGACCTCGTGTGAGGTCACTGGAGATAATCAGATGTAATGTCAGGATTCATATCATTCATATACTCCTGGACACTCTTGTGTCCAGGAGTATATGAATAATATATATAGGAGTATATATGACGATCAGCAAACATAAAGTGTTGTTACTAGACTATAGTGGAAGGTGTTGATCTTTAAGCGTAAACTTTATGGTCTAAACTTTCTAATCACATGTCCATCCTTCAGTTACCACCGAACCAATACTGCATCCCCACTTGCCTCATGCTTTCTTCTCACGGGGAAATTAAAAAAGGGAGTTGGGAGTCAGCAAACTGGCATCACATACTTGTCAGGGGGTTTTTGTGGGCTATGAGTGAAATGTGACAGAGACACAGTATTACCCAATAACACCGCCTGTTTTGCAGAAGCGTGAGTGGCAGTCTGCTCACTCTGCTAAATGAAGCTGTCTGCTGTCAGGCACGATGTACCCAAACTGTCAGATCTTTTTAACTTTCGCCATCAAGCTCGTCTTTACCCAGTGATGAAGCTCAGTGTTAACAGCTGTGTTGGCTCTGGGTGGAATTTATTAATGTCTGCTTTTTTATGGTTCTGGTAGGAGTTTTGTTGTTAACATGTGACTACACGTTACATACTATATATATATATATAGAGAGAGAGAGAGAGAGAAAGTGAGAGAGAGAGAGAGAGTGTGAGTGTTAGTGCAAGTGTACAGGGGTAGAGTTCTGTAGTTATGTCCAGACATTGGCATGATGTCTGATTTAATGAGTACCATAGCTTTGTCTCCATGTAATCACATACCAATGAAAGCTGCATTCAGACACACACACACATACACATACACACACACACACACACACACACATCACTGTCAGACGCATCAATCACATTCAGCATATGTTATTTACCTAAAAAGAAATGTGATCTTTCTTTTATCGCTCAGCCCCGAGTTGGTAAAACATCCAGCTGCTTCTCAGCTCGAGTCCACTGACTAACGGTAAAGAAGGAAAGCAAAGGTACACACTCTTTGTGATGCCTTGCATGGGTGTATACTGTCACACAGGGGAGTGATGCTTCCCTTTGATGAGTGGACATGGGCGTGAAAGGTGCATTTGCTTCTGAGCCACCCATTCCCTCCTCCCTCCTGTCCCCATAGCCAGCTTCAAACAGCCTCAATAATGCCGAGTTTATAGCTTCTTTTTCATTGCCATCACACTTCTATTTCTCTCTCTCTTGCCATCTGTAAACTCTAATGGAGTGTAGATTGAGTGTTTGTGGGGTTCACTCCTAAAATCTATAGAGAAAGTAAGCAGGAGAGGCAGCAATGAATCTATTGAGGCTGGAGCAGAGAAACACAGTCTGATAGGCTGATAGACAGACATGCCTGCTGTGCATCTCAGCCTCATATTCTTGGGAATATTTCTCTGTAGCTCACAGAAATTGAATCCCCCCCTTCAGTCTTTAAGTGATATAGATATATTCAGGCAGCCACTTGAGGACGTGTGGGGTTAGATGTAATAGTTTGACTAATCAATGATCAATGAGGGAAGGTATAAAAGCTTTTTTCTTTTGTGAACATGTCACAAAGGTGTGGATTGACTTTATGAAAGAAAAGAAAACGATAACCTCTGATATCTAAATTACATCCTGCAAAAGTAATCATTGTCCAGATTTGCACTGCAACCCCGCAAAGACACATACATATTTAAAAACCATAATAGAGACGTATTTTCCTGGCCCCCGTGTGCTGATTCATCACTGGGGAGGGGATGGGTGGTCAAACTGTGGGTATCCAGGCGAGAAGCTCAATAGCAAGTCAGTGGGCGGACAGCTCGTGTGGGTCAACCTGGAGCTCAGAGGGAGGCTCAATGGGAAAATCAATGCAGCCCGATAACCAATTTGGGAAATAATGGAGATCACAGCACTATAGTGGACTGCTGGTACATTTATCAGTTCATTCACTCTCTGCCTCTCACTCTGCCTCTGTTTCTTTCTTTATCACACCTCTTCTGTTGACTGTTCTTTTTACTCCTTTAACTCACAGTCACTAATTGGGGTTCATTCATTTGCAATTGATTGTTGGAAGCTTGTTTGTTATTATATTTACAACTTTGCTTCCTTATGTTGTTGTTCAATTTGGTTTCAGAGGAATTTATTCAAAAGATGTTGTTTGAATGTTTTTAGTCATTTAATAAAGAACGAAAAAGTGACATTTATTTTTGTCATAAATGATGAACTTTAAATAATTCTTCCCTGAATCGAAGGATTAAAACAATTCTTCTCTGCTGCTGCACTCTGGCTCCAGCACCAGACTATGGAGATACATTCATAATCCATAGGAGCCTTCTGAACCTCCACTTGGTTCAATAAGTGAGACAGGTGCTCTTTAGGGAACAGATGCTTGAATCAGAGCTGAGATATTCAGCTTGTGAATCAATATGAAGAGTGTTCAGGAGCTGTGATGCACAAGTACCGTGAACGAAATCACTTTAATTTTACAAAGATGTAAAAGCATAATGTAATCAAGCCTTTAAAAAGAATCTTTGAATGAAAAATTAATAAGATTTTCTCTTTTAAGATTGTCACTGAACGGCCACATTTAAAATCACTGTACTTCTGATATATATTTTATGCAGTTATTGAATTTTATAGACATAAAGACCTCTGAATTTGGGCTCCTGTGGGTGGAGATAACTAATGGTCCAGTTGTATGTGTGTGCTCTAATGGAACCATTTAACCATTTTATGGAGGTCAGCTTAGTCCCTCTTTGCTTTTTTCCCTTCAACTCTGGAATAAACATGTGTGTGTGTATGTATGTATGTGTGTGTGTTCAGTGCAGTACAGTTACTTCTAAATATGTATATTTTGCATATTTCAATATGCAAAATCCCCTAACAAAGTACTCTCCCACACACAACATCCAAAACTACTTTTATTTGTGCAGAAGCAGGGTCGCCTGCAGAATCTTTATCAAGGGAAATCAGCATTTAATACAATCACTTCAGTGCATTTTACACACTGTTTCAACACTCTGAAATCAAAAACAGCCCATTGAAGCTCTATAAATGTGGTGCCCTGGTGCCCACCGGGAGGAGCATTAAACTTGCTCCTGCTGTGCTGGATGTTAAGTATGATGGCTGTTTGCTGTTAATGGGGGTTTCAATCCAGTATAGAGTACATATGTGCAGAGGGCTTTGGAGCTATAACACAAAATGGATATTGAAAAAATGTTTTACCTTCTACACCCTGCATTCCTCATTTAATGGTTAGATAGTATAGATGTATTATTAATAAATGACTAGGGAGCATTTGGGAAGCCAAACATCTTTATTCATAGTATGCACAAAGGTCTGGAAACCACTAGTTGTTTCACCTCAGCTACTGTCACTGTCCCTGCCTCTTTCTCTGTCTCACATCTCATAGACTCGAGACACGGATGGTCCAATACACTGAGATGCATGCTAATTTAAAGGCACTGAAAACGCAGACACAGATACCGTTTCACCTCTTACTTACTGTCAAAGCTGGTTCCAGCCTCAGCACAGCGTCAGCATCATTAGATGTGACCTTTCTCTTTGAGCTTGTGCTGATGCTGGCAGTGCGACCGCAGCTGGGACTTTGTAGCAGGTTAGAAAGAGAATGCCTGATGACCAGTGAGAGCTCAGTAGTGGCTGGCCAGGTGGAGGGTGGGAGGTGCGGATATTTAGACGCCACAAACTGATGGCATCAATCCAAAGCAAGCTCACTATCACAATAAACCTGGCAATGCAATGTCAGATAGACCAACTTTTCTTTTAACTCACTCATTATTAAAATAACAATAGGATTCAATACTGTGTCTCTAAAAAGAATGAGGTACTTCAACAGAGCACACGATCCTTTTAAATAGGATCCTTTTAAATAGCAACTGTAGCTTGCCTCCACCAGTGTGTGAATGTGAGAGTGAATGGGTGGATGACTGGACGTGTAAAGCGCTTTGGGGTCCCTAGGCGGGACTAGTAAAAGCGCTATACAAATAAAGGCCATTTACCATTTACCATTTATCTGTTTGTATCACACCTCGTCAAAATGAAGACAGCTACAGCGCACAACTGTAGTAAAAGCTATCAGCATGACATGGTTAAGCAACTTAAAGTGCTTCTCTTGTCATATAGAGATGCTTTAGTTGGGATGGTGAATGCAGGAGTATGACAAACATCTAAACAAAATGGTATTTTAAGTACAATTAAGCCTCAATCAGATGATGATTTCCGCAACTGTGAAGCGGGCATAATGGCTTTTAAAAGCAGCAATTCATGTCTGAAAACATGAAAAGACGAACAGCATCCACAAAGCCAAACTGGCACATGTACACAACTTATAGGAACGGTGATATCAAGGAGTAATTAATGAGTACAGAAAGTTAGGTTTCAAGTGGAGGCTATGAAATATATGATATAATCAGAGGACCAACATACTTATAGAAGACTAGAGTCTCTGGTAGGTTCTTTGTAGAAATCTGCACAACCTCATTAGGCAAAATAAAACAGTGAAACCTCCAGGATGGTGCAGATGAAGATGTGTGCAAAATTCAAGGTGGATGATGTTAATTTCAGTAAAAACAACACTATCATCATCATCGCTTGAACATTCTGCTCTGGCCATCTATCCCTTTATCTTGCTCACTCCCACGAGCTGCTCTGCCTCACTTCAATTTACGTCAGCTCACCTTGATTTATCGGCATGTCTGCTGCATAAACAGTATCACACATTGTGTGAATACATAACTAAAGGGAAATAAAAAAACGCCAGCGGTTGCCTTGTGAATATATCTGTGTGTGTTTGTTTAGCTACTCAAGGATCTAAGTCACTGCATATTCATCTCCTATTCCTCTCCATCCATTCC